TAGTTTTACAAGAACTTGCAGAGTGGAATTTCAAAGTAAAGGAAAAATGAAAATATATTTTGATGCATGGCAGCATTCTTACGCAAAAAACTGTTGACGTTTGAGTGTTTCAAGTGTTGTGTTTCACATCTCAGTTTATATTTATCTTTTTGTTATTTTGATATTAATAAGTCATTTTTTTCTCGAAATTTTTTTATATTTTTTAAAGTCCTTCAAGTAAACACATCATAACTTCTTGCTAGCTCTGTTCGAGACCTCCTTGTCTATTAATTGTCAGTTATCCGAGTTTCTTGCAGGGAAGATAGCAGATGACGTCTATAAATAGAAAGCTGTCTTTTCTGTCTGCAAATCAGGTTATGGCTCAGAGGCATAAAAAGAGGTTTTACGTGTAAACTTAGCTTAAATTGTTTTCTTATATTACAGTCAGGTTCTTATTTGTTTAAGACATTTTTATTTATTCTAAACATTTAGTAGACTGAAAGATTTTGATACGGTTTTTGACTTTATGTTTTATTATAAATTTTTGTGAGATTTAATATTGCTTTAATTTGGCTAAGATCTTGGTATTTTTGTCATTAAACATTGTGTTAGCTTTGGGTTGATTTTCATTTTACAGTTTCACTTAGTTGTAGTTTACTTTACAAGGACTGGACTGGTGAGACAGAGCTCATTAAGGTTTCACTTCTTTTCTCTTTTTCACCAGTCCAACACAGCCACAACAGACACACTTACTCTTGTTTTCATTGTGGTTGTGTTTTTGTTGTTTAATGTGCATTTGACTCTTTCTTCGTGAAGAACTCAGTTTGAGATTCAAAAGATAAACAGGTACGTATAATCTGTAACTCTTTATTGCCCCTGGTGGCTCACTAGTAAGTCTGAAGGGTTATAATGCTATAAATCGGGTTTTGATACCCAAAATGGGCACAGTGCAAATGGTCCATTGTATAGTTTTGTGAGTAACAGTAACAAATCTAAACTCTGTATCCTTTGAATCTCCAGTTAGTGGGTCCTAACTGACTACTGTTGTGGACATTGTTGCAATGTATTGAGTCTATACTATTAACATTATATTTATGTACACTGTTAAGATGATATTATTGTAATCTATTGATTCTACACTGTTAACATTATATTCATGTACACTGTTAAGATGATATTATTGTAATCTATTGATTCTACACTGTTAACATTATATTCATGTACACTGTTAACATGATATTATTGTAATCTATTGATTCTACACTGTTAACATTATATTCATGTACACTGTTAAGATGATATTATTGTAATCTATTGATTCTACACTGTTAACATTATATTCATGTACACTGTTAACATTATATTCATGTACACTGTTAACATGATATTATTGTAATCCATTGATTCTACACTGTTAACATTATATTTATGTACACTGTTAACATGATATTATTGTAATCTATTGATTCTACACTGTTAACATTATATTCATGTATGCTATTAACATGATATTCCCCAACTACTGAAATTATATTATTGTACCTAATTGTGAGTATGAAATTATTATTAGGTCACTAGGGCTAAATGCTAGGCTTATGATGATATGTAAGAATCAGTAGATAAGCTGGTTGGATTGGTGGGATCAGGTCAATGGGAGAAGGTAGCTTCTTGGAATGTGTGGTTTACATTTGAATGGGGTAGGGTCTGGCTATTAACTCAACTGTAAGACCAGCTAGGACTAGACAGTGGTGAGGGCCAGAATAATAAAGAAAAAATAAGGTGCGTAGTGTGGGAAAGGTAGAAAAGTAGTTATATTGGAGGATAGATTGTTATCAGTGTAATGATAGGAGTGTGAGAAATATAATGGATGACTTTAGAGCACTGGTCGAAACATGGGATTATGATGTAATAGGAATAACTGAAACCTGGCTAAATGTAGACAATTTTGATGAGAGGAATTGCTTCGAAATAAGGTGTTATAGATTATTTGACAGGAATAGAGTACTAAAGAGAGGGGGGAGGAGTGGCTTTATATCTAAAATGGAGTTAGAATCTTTTCACGTTGAGGATATCAAAGCTAACAGCAATGATGTTGAATCTGTTTTGGTTTCTGTTAGTGGTTATAAGGGGAGAAGGCTTTTAGTTGTAATTTGTTACAGACCACCAGATGAAGCTGATAAAAGTAATGATGAATTTTACATTACAGGTGTGTATTTGGTGTATTTGGATTTTCAGAAAGCATTTGGCAAGTTGCCACATAAAAGGCCTGTAATAAAGTTATCTCTGTAGGTGAGGGGGATATGTTGGCTAATTGGTTAGAAAACTGGCTGGATGGAAGAGAGTTTGATGGAGTTCACTCAAATTGGATTCATGTGTCAAGTGGGTTACTTAAGAGCTCACTGCTAGGACCTTAGCTCTTTTTGATTTCACCAATGACATAAATGAAGAACTGGTCAATAGATAGTTTAAATTTGCTGGTGACATTGAAGTTTTGGGTGTTGCTGGCTATGAGGAGGATGCTGCTACTTGAGAAAAGTATTTGGATTATTTGGTAAGTTGGGCAAATAAATTGTAAATGGCTTTTAATTATATTAAATGCAAAGGAATTTGAATTATGAGTATCATTTTTATGGGAATAACCTTAATAGTGTTATGAAAGTAAAACATCTCTGTGTTCCGGTTGACCAGTTTCTTAAGCCACCCAAGCAGTGTGCTGTTGCTAGTGGCAGAGCAAATAGGATTTTAGGTTGTATCTACAAAAATATTGAATAAAAACCTAAAGAGGTTATAATGTCATTGTGTAGATCACTGGTTAGGCCACATTCGGAGTATTGTGTTCAGTCTTGAGGATCTGATTGAGGTGCTTAAGATTGTTGATGGTGTTTATGCTGCATCTTTTCGTATTCAGTGGCGAGACTAGGATACAGAAGTATAGCTTTTAGCAGGGTGGAAGTCATCTTCAGCTAAGACTGCTTTATATTTTCTAACAGGGTGGTGTTGGTCTTTGGAATGAGTGGCCTTCAGATGTGGTAGATGCATTTAATTTAAGGGACTAATAATGGTTCGAGACTGGTTGACTGAGGCAGTAAGATATAATGTATCAATTATTGTGGTTTTTGCTTCTTCTTCCTCCCTTTTCAAACTACACCTGGTTGACTGAGGCAGTAAGATATAATGTATCAATTATTGTGGTTTTTGCTTCTTCCTTCTCCCTTTTCAAACTACACCTGGTTGACTGAGGCAGTAAGGTATAATGTATCAATTATTGTGGTTTTTGCTTCTTACTTCTCCCTTTCAAACTACACCTGGTTGACTGAGGCAGTAAGATATAAAGTATCCATTATTGTGGTTTTTGCTTCTTCTTCCTCCCTTTTCAAACTACACCTGGTTGACTGAGGCAGTAAGATATAATGTATCAATTATTGTGGTTTTTGCTTCTTCTTCCTCCTATTTAAAAATACACCTGGTTGACTGAGGCAGTAAGATATAATGCATCCATTATTCTGGTTTTTGCTTCTTCTTCCTCCCCTTTCAAACTACACCTGGTTACAAGTTCTTAAATGATGATTCAGCTATAAAGGCTTCAGAGTGACTTATCAAGCTTTTACTAAAAGATTCCATTCCACGAAAAACACATTTAATAAAAACCCATGACTCAGTACAAAATACAAGTGACTATTATGCTACTTTTCAACAACGTCTATTTCGTGCAACGATTGTTTAAAAAGTATTTTGGTTGACTAAACTCATTGTATGATACACGAGGTTTCCTTTGATTGTCACTTTTCCGTAATGAAAGTTTAAAAAGTAGTTGGATGACTAAACTCACTGTATGATACACGAGGTTTCCTTTGATTGTCACTTTTCTGTAATGAAAGTTTAAAAAGTAGTTGGATGACTAAACTCACTTATGATACACGAGGTTTCCTTTGATTGTCACTTTTCCTGTAATGAAAGTTTAAAAAGTAGTTGGATGACTAAACTCACTGTATGATACACGAGGTTTCCTTTGATTGTCACATTTCTGTAATGAAAGTTTAAAAAGTAGTTGGATGACTAAACTCACTGTATGATACACGAGGTTTCCTTTGATTGTCACATTTCTGTAATGAAAGTTTAAAAAGTAGTTGGATGACTAAACTCACTTTATGATACTGTGGACTATACTGATTTTATTTTACGATCAGGGTGTAGACTATACTGGTTATAGTTAAGGATCAGGGTGTGGACTTTACTGATTTTACTTTAGGACCAGGATGTGGACTATACTGGTTTTACTTTAGGACCAGGATGTGGACTATACTGGTTTTAGTTAAGGATCAGGATGTGGACTTTACTGATTTTACTTTAGGACCACGATGTGGACTTTACTGATTTTACTTTAGGACCATGATGTGGACTTTACTGATTTTTGCTTTAGGACCAAGATGTGGACTATACTGGTTTTAGTTAAGGATCAGGATGTTGACTTTACTGATTTTACTTTAGAACCAGGATGTGGACTTTACTGATGTTACTTTAGGACTTTACTGATTTTGGTTAGGGATCAGGGTGTGGACGGCACTGGACTTTATTGATTTTAGTTGAGGATCAGTGTGAAAGTGTTAGCTATAATAATATTATTTTCAGATCAAGATCAAGTTGTAAATTGCATTGATTTGTTATTTGATAAGGATCAAAGTTGAACTACGCTAATCTATTGACTGATAATGATGAAGATGTGGTCCATTTCCAGATAAGGATCACGGTTTGAGTTACAACGATATTACATCTTGATAAAAGTCAAGGTCTGAGCTACAGAAGACATCAAGATCAAGGTGTAGAATATACTGTTCGACTACTTGATCAAAATCGAAGTGAGAGATACACTAATTTATTTTCTGATCAAAATCAAAGATTTGATCATAATAAAGTAAGAACTACAGAGCGTGATTGATTTACGTTAACTTAGATTAATTTATAATTTAATTTTCAAAGATATGTATTTAATATTTTTAAAGTTTCAATCTTATCTTTATGTTTCAGGGGCTTCGGGAAGCAAGGCTACCAATGTCAAAGTAAGTTCTATATCGTTTTATTGTTAGGTTTTGTTCTACCATAACAATGAGAAAGGTTTAAATGTAAGTTCTATATCGTTTTATTGTTAGGTTTTGTTCGACCATAACAATGAGAAAGGTTTCAAAGTAAGTTCTGTATCGTTTTATTGTTAGATTTTGTTTCACCATAACAATGAGAAAGGTTTCTTATTGTTATGGTCGAACAAAACCTAACAATAAAACGATATAGAACTTACTTTTAAACCTTTCTTATTGTTATGGTCGAACAAAACATAACAATAAAACGATATAGAACTTACTTTTAAACCTTTCTCATTGTTATGGTAGAACAAAACCTAACAATAAAACGATATAGAACTTACTTTCAAAATCTAACAATAAAACGATACAGAACTTACTTCTAAACCTTTCTTTTAAACCTTTCTTATTGTTGTGGTGAAATTAAGTTCTGTATCGTTTTATTGTTAGATTTTGTTTCACCATAACAATGAGAAAGGTTTAAAATTAAGTTCTGTATCGTTTTATTGTTAGATTTTGTTCCACCATAACAATAAGAAAGGTTTAAAATTCGAATAATAAGTGTACCCGGTGCACCATTCATTCTTATATACACTGAGTGGTCACAAGTAAATAGACACCTAATTTTTCGTCATTTAACTGATTTATGCTAACTAATTTGTGTTCATAGAGCACTATATAAATGAAAATGGTCCGCACACTAATTACCTTGTGCTACGACATGCCTAGAACTCAGGGTTCTCTAGAATTGTCAGATTTTGTTAGAGGAAGGATAGTTGGTCAAGCAGATGGTGGAATAAGTCAGCGGCAAATTTCGCAGAATTTGGGAATCCCGCTTTCGACAGTCAACAGAATCATCGCGCAGTTCAGGACACACGGCAAGGAAACAACTGAGCAGCGTCCGGGTCGTCCTGGTCCATCGGAGAGGACAAAAAGGGTTGTCAAGAGGAGCATCGAAATGGATCCCAGATTAACGACTGCAGAAGTGGCCAAAGTTGGTGGGATGAACCCGAAATCTGTTCAACGGATTCTCTACAGATT